CCTCACCTGCAATGGTCAGGTTCACTGACCCCCTGACGTGACGCGCTGAGCACACAGCCTCACCGCCGCGGTGCTCCTGCCAAGTGGTGCCCAGAAACCAACCTCAGGCCCGCCCCGCCGCGCACGCTGGGGGTGAATTGGGGATTGGCGAGCCCGGGCCAGTGCAGCATCCCACCAGTGGATTGTAATTGCCCACCTCATGCAAGCAAGAAGCTACTCTGCTGACAGCTAGAATGAGACAGTTGCCTGCAGCAACAGTTTGCCTCCTTTCAGGTTCTCAGATGATCACCTCAGTGGTCAGTGTTGTAAAAGAACTCACTGAAAACCCCCTGGATGCCAGTGCTACAAGCACAGATGTTAAGCTGGGGGACTGTGGATTTGACAGAACTGAGGTGCGAGACAGTGGTGCTGATGCACCCGTAATGGCCATGAAGTGCTGCACCTCAAAAGTAAGTCACCACGATAATCTTGAAGATCTGACAACTTACGGTTCGTGTGGAGAAGCCTGGGGGTCCTTTTGTTGTGTAGCTGAGGTTTTAATTATAACCAGGACAGCTGCTGATAATTTTAGCACCCAGTATGTTCCGGATGGCAGTGGCCACATAATTTCTCAAAAACCTTCACATCTTGGTGAAGGAATAAACAACAATTTCATATTTTCTTCCAAAGCAACAAGTGCTTTCTGAGACCTGTAAAGGGAAAACGGCCACAAGTGAAAAAAGCTGTGTTAAGTCCAAAAGGACCACCATCACATCCACACATTGGATTGAAGACGCCAGCAGAAAACCGTCTTATCCATGGGGATGGGCACAACTGTAACTGTTCATGGGTCAACCTGTAAGAGAGCAATTTTACTAACTGCTAAAAAGCGTAAATATGAAATGAAAAAGGTCCAAGATCTCCTATGCTGTGGTCTACTTAAAGCTGATGTAAGGGTTGTTTTTAATATATAACAAGGCAAGGGAAACAAGCAAAGCTCAACAAATGGGACTACAAACGAGAAAGCTTTTGCACAGCGAAGGGGGATTGACAAGAGAAAAAGACTGCATACTGAGTGGAAGAAGGTATTTATCAACAGTGTATCTGAGGAGTTAATATCCAAGATGTACAATAGAGCTCAAACAACTCAACATCAAAAAACAAAGCACCTGACTAAAAGGAGGGCAGAGGACTTGAATAGACGTTTTTCCAAAGAGGCCGTGCAGATACAGGCGGACACAAGGATGCTCAGCACTGCTCGTCAGCGGGGGTGCGGCTCAGGACCACAGTGGGCTGTCACCTCCCACCTGTCCGAGTGGCTGTTACCAAGGGACAAGCAACGAGTGTTGGAGAGGGTGTGGAGGACAGGCAGCCCTCGTGCACTGTTGGGGGCAGTGTGGATTGGTGCAGCCACTGTGGAGAGCAGTATGGAGGTTCCTAGAAAAATTAAAAATAGAACTACCATTCAGGCCAGCAGTTCCCCATCTAGGTATTTTCCTGAGGAAAATGGAGACACTGGTTTGAAGGGACACATGCACCCCAGTGTTCGTAGTAGCATTATTTGCAGTAGCCAACCCTTGGAAGCAGCTTAAGTGCCCATCGACTGGTGAATGAATAAAGATGTGGTCTGTGGGGGGAAAAAAAGACCTCAGACAAACCCAACTTCAGGACATTTACAAAAAAAAACTGGTTTGTATTCTTTAAAAATGTCAAGGGCATGAAAAGATAAAATCCCGAGGCATGTGCCAGGCTGAAGAGGAGACGCCCGAAAACTAAACGCAGCTTGTGACCCTGAAGCAGAAACAGGCTATTTTCATTTTTGCTGTGAAAACCATTGTTGAGACAACTGATGAGATTTTAATTGTCTGTAGAGGGGGCAAATACTGATTTTTTTGATTGTTATGAAATTGTCCTGTGGTGGTTACGTAAGGCAAGCTGGCTGTTTGAGGATACATGTGGTTTTTAGGAAGTACTTAGAGGCAAAGGGAAATCCTGACTGGAATGCAGGCTCAGTTAAAAACACATTTATGGGTAATGATAAAAGCTGAGTTGAGAAAATGTTAACATTAAAGGAATTTGAGTGCAAGGTAAATGGGAATTGTATTATCCTTACAACTTTTGGGTAAGCCTGAAACTTATTTCAAAAAAGTTTAAAAAATTAAATTGCAGAGGTATTTTAAGGAATCACCCCAGATTTGATATGTAGCAGTACTTCCTTGAGGCAGATTTCTGCTAACCTCGTGCTGGGAGTGGGTCATGGTGTCTGGGTTCCTCGTTCTTCTTGCTGATTGTTGAGCCCTTGGGTGGAGTTGGTTGTATTTGTGGGGGATGCTGGATGGACAGTGTGTTGTGTGTGTGTGCAAATCAAGTAAGGTCGATCCAGCCAGTCTGGGTATCTTTCAGGGTCAAAATTATAAGGAAAAGTTCAAATGCAATTGCATTGTGTTGTAGCATTTATAAGACACGTTTGTAGCAATTGAGCTGAATTGTCCTAGTAAGAAAACCCTGGTGTCCTTACTTGGCTCACGGGAGCGGTATTGGGCACTGAGCGCTTGCTGTGTCCTGAGCACTGAAGGTTGGCGGAGCCAGGATCCCAGCCTGCACAGCCCCACCTGTGCTCACAGGCCGCCTTGTAAGGATGGGAGAGGCGCCTCTCAGAGTCACGAGGTGCACCCTCCACACCTGCACCTGCACCTCTGAGGGAGCAGCTCTCAGAATTCAGGGGCAGGTGGGCGGGTGGGCAGAGCTCTCGCGTGAACACACCCTCCCCTCCTCCCCGCTTTCTGGGGTTCTCGGGGTCCTGAATTTTTACAGGCTCACTCCCCCTTCCTGGGACTCTTCCCTCTAGAGACCCCCAGCAAGCTCTGCCGCTGGGCCCTGCCCTGGGGGACAAGGCCCTCTTGCGTTCGGAGACTCCCAGACCACTGGGCAGTTACAGCTGTGTCAGGAAAGGCCGATCCACCAGGACGGAGCCCGGATTCACTCACTCAGCTCCAGTTCCCTTGGGGTTGGACTTCATCTACAGCTGCGTAATTCCTACACTGGTGCTGAAGCACCAGGTTTAGACATTGGCGCTGGCTGAGGGCTTGATTTGGTGACAGCACCTGTTTCCTGCGTCATCTGCCATTACAGAGCTGGCAGCAGCACTCGTCTAGCTGGGACCCTGTTCAGAGTGCTCTTTAGTGGAAAGGAAGGCCAGCTCTTGCTTGTCCCCTGGACATCTGTCTTCCACTTGGGCTCAGGAACTGGCCTCACAACTCCTGGCACACAGGGCTGTGTGCTGCCCACAGCTCAGCTGGGGCCTGAGGACCAGTTATTTCCAGTCACTAGAGCTGGGAGCACAGCTCCCCAGACTCCTCTGCTCCAGGGAGCAGGCTGGGGCGCCGCCCTCCCTCCGCTGTTTCTGGAAGTGTGAGCAGCATCCACACCCTGCAGAGTTAAAGCCCGAGCGATTCCCGAGGTCAGAAGACTCAGGGGTTTTCATTCAGCCTCCTCTGCAGCCCTTGGTGAAACCCAGACTAACTGCCACCTCCATCAGATACAGGGCAGCGAGGACCACGCAGCGAAGGGGCACGCCTGCTGGGATGCCCTCTAAAGGCCACCTCCTCACACTGCGCTGCTGTTGAAGCACTCAGTCCGTCACTGCACAGGCACTTCACCAGCAGAGGTCGACTCTTAAGTTACAAAAAAAAGGCCAACCTCATACAATGACCTGCACGTCTCAGGGATTACTTACTACAGCAGTGTTTCCACATGGGACTTAATGGTGGTTTTACAAGAATGGCTGCTAGGACTGAAATAATTTTTGAGTAAAATGAAATTAATTACATTTTAGTGAGTTTCTTTTGTGACTTATGTAAAGGACTTACTATCAAGAATTTTCATGAAAGCGATACAAGCTTTTCTCTTAATGAAAAATAATGCCAGATAATCAAGTGTTCCTTATTCTATCATTTATTGAGGAAAGTTTTCATAGCAGAGTGAAGCAGCAGATGCTGATGAGGAATTCCAACACTTCCAGGCTCACAGCAGTGCAGAGGACAAGCCCGGGGACTGCACTACAGCAGGGACCGGTCCCTCATCACCTCACACGAGTGACCCCACGTCCAGCACAGACCACGACCCAGACGGCTGTCTTCAAAGACTGTCATCCTGCTGTCTGCACACAAGTGCCTTTCAGCCATAGAGCTAAAGAAACGGCACTTCAAGAGAATGACCCTGAATATATGGCTTATAAACTGACAGAGCTTTTACTTAAAACGTTAACACGGTGAACACGCAGGCTTCCCGGGAAAATGGAACCCAGTTAGAGGACATTCATGGGGCCAAGTGACGACCTGAGGCCGTCCATCCAACGGTGCAGGGTAGTGACACAGCTGCGCTTGGGCATCAGAGCAGGCGCACCGTCTTCCCAGTCACCGTCAGGAAGTCGTCATCCGCCAAGGCGCGCAGGGCCTCCTCGAACATGTCCTTGGTGACGGCCTGTGGGAAGGGGAGAAGAGAGGCTTCACACGTGCGGCCGCCCTCCCCTCTCAGAGACCACGCCCTTCCTCCTCAGGGCTGCACACACTCTCAGGCCCCGGCTCACAAGTGGTGAACGCGCCCTGTGAGGGTGGCTGGCGCTGTGGGCTCAGCCGTTCCCCAACAGCTCAACTTTCCTCATTCACGGCAGGGAACCCGAGTGTCTCATCCTCAAGCAAAGTGGTGTGGGAATTCCGACCGTTACCATCATTTATAACAGCAAAACCTGGAAACACTAAATGTCCACCAAAGGTTGGGTAAATGACAGTAACGCGTGAGGCAGAGTGAACACGTGATGAAGTCGATGTCACCATCAGAGACAATACTAAGAACGTGTCAACAATTAAAAGGGATAAATAAACAAAACGATGTAACTGTGGCTGACCCGTCTGCATCCACGTGGAAAGCCCTGAAAGGAGCCGGAGTTCTCACTGCGGCCCCTCCCTGACGGGTGACCTTACCTCTCCTTTTTTTTGGCGGTGGTGGGGTATGCGGTGTGTAATTAGGTTATTTGCTTATTTATGACAGAGGTTCCGGCAACTGAACCCAGGGCCTCGTGCAGGCCAGGCAAGTGCTCTCCGCAGAGCTATGCCCCTCCCCATCGTGTCTTTTTTTACTTGAACAGTAAACAAAGGAAAGAAGTTAGGGAAAAAGTGTAGAGAAGTCCTAAGGGAAAAGAAAACTCTTAAACAAAAGATACACACGAACACTTACTACATCAGACTGCCCCCGAATATCTTCAAAAAGCTGCTGGTATTTCAGGGCTGGCATTTTGCCCTTGGACAAAATAAGCTTTTTCAGGGCTTCCACCAACTCTTCCTTCCGTTTACGAGAGGTGGCGCTCATCCCTGATTCAAGAGAAATTAATGACATCTCTGCTATAAGGAAGTGAAAATGTTTCAAGTTTCCACAAACACCCCTTTCGTCATGTCACCAAAACAGGCCCAGGGGCTGTGGCCGATGCCAGAACCGGTCCATGTCCCCTAGGCCGCCAGTCCCTCCCTCCGGGCGAGCAGCCAGGTGGGGACCCTCCCGTGGTGAGGACCCACCTGTGGTGAGGATGGAAATGTCCACGATGCCCGTGCGCGGGTCAGTGGCCGACTGCTTCAGGGCCTCCCGGTGCAGGCGCTTGGCCTCCTCCACGTCAATCGCCTCGACCTTGCTGGAAAACCGCACCTTGGCATGGGCCTCCGCCAGGCGGATCAGCGACTCCAGCTGCCGGGGGTACGCGGACACCATCCCACGGCTGCTGCCGATCTTCCTCATGTCCACGTAGGCCTGGAAGGAGACAAACCCAGATGCTCACCAGCCTCACAGTCCCGGGGACGAATTCTGAACTCCCGCCAGGCTGTGCATGTGGTGCTTAGGGGAAGAGGGCCTCCAGGAGGAACTGTCCACCGAGGCTGTGAGCATGGCCTCCGGAGGATGCCGTGTGGCGGGCAAGGGGCAGGCCGAGGGTGTCAGGGAGCTGGTTGGCCTGTTCACCCCTGGCGAGGGTTACCCGGGAAATGCAGGAAAGCTAAGTTGTATGGGCTGTTCTGTGGATGATGTAATTCTCATAGGAAAAGATGCAGGTGGGAAATTACATCGTTTGTAACCTTCCCGGGAGCATTTCCGGGGCCTCCTGTCAGGGTGTGAAGCTCATACGGAAGCAGGAACCTTCTCAAGGTCACAGCGTTTGAACCTGACGTGTGTCATCGCGCCCCAGTGCCCACTTAAAAGGATACTGGGAAGTGAACATAAGCACTTCTATTTCATTTTTCAGAGAATAGCCAGTGCAGCCCGGAGGCGAGTCAGGAAGTCCTACGTAGTAGCATCACCTCTATTTCAACTCAGGCACTCTGGTCATAAATTCCCTGTGCTCACAAGTTACTTAAATATGAAAGGAGCGCGCACAGTATGTAGAGATGAATCCTTTCCCTTTTCTACGTTTGGAAAAGTCAATTTTGCGATACAAGAGGGAAAAATAGTTGTAGAAGATGGTATGCTATTCTTGCCAAAATAACATGTCTGCAGGTGTCAGCGTCCTGGCAGTGCCCCTGGCCACAAGGTACCTCGATGAGTGCCTGACTGGCGTCCTGGCTCAGCCGGGGCTGGATGGTGCTGTGGGCGTAGGCAATGTAGTCCCTGAGCACTGCCATGTCCATGAACTCCTCCTGCGCCTGCTCCTCACTCTGGTAGTACAGAGACACCAGGTGGTGGGCCAAGCGCCGGTCGTACGCCTCGTCCTGAGGATCCAGCATGAGGAAGATCAGATCAAACCTAAGGAAACAGTGGAACAGTTTTCGTGGTTGGGACAAGCCACCTGCAAGCGTGCACCTGGCGTGTGTGTGACCCTGTGTCCCTTGGGGCCACTGAGGCTGTCTGAAGAGCCCGGCCCCCAGGTCACCTGCTCCGTCCCCTTGGGCCCACCTGAAAACGCCGGCACGTTACGATAATTTTGAAGACTGGAAGATGCAAATGAAAACACACATTCAACCGTTTTGGGAAAAAGAAACTATTTGTCAAAAAAAAAAAAAAGTCAAGTAATTAAAATTGAAAATCCATTTATGAAATACATTAATCTTTGAAAAAAACGTATGATTACATGCTTCCCTTTCAGAACCTTATTCCCTGTACTATAATGGTTCCCTGCTGTGGCTCAGACCGAGAAATGGGCTTCTGAAAGGATGCCAAGGTGAAAGGTCCTAATTGCATCAACACCTGAGCAAATGTTAAGGTTTTGCCTTGAAAACCTGTGACCAACCGAATTTGCAGACCTGCACTGGAGTGGAGTCTGTGACGTCAGCACATGTCTCATCCTGGGACTTCCTTTTCTCAACCTCACCCCGCAGGTCCCACAACTGAGCTAAGTCAGGACATCTGCTCTACAGAAACACACTTTCCTACCTGGATAACAACGTGTGGGGCAGCTGGATGTTTTCAATGGTGGTTTTCTTCGGATTCCACTGAGACTCAATGGGGTTTGCTGCTGCCAGGATAGAGGTGCGGGCGTTGAGCTGGCAGATGATCCCAGCCTGAGAGGCACAGAGGGCCAGTGTGGTTAGAAGCCTCACCCCAAGGTGGGCGGACCTGTAAGCCACGTAGCCCGGCACAGGTGACCCGCTGGAGACAGCACCCTGAGCTCAGAATCACGCCAAGGGCCAAGTTTTAGGTAAATGTTTGCTAGGACTGTCTCTCTCTCAGAAACCAAACCCCCTGCGCGAGATTTGGGATAAACTCAAGTTCTTAAATGCGACAAGTGAGGTTAGCACAGAGGAAACAGGACCTCGTAGAAAGTATGCAGAGCCTGAGCTGCCATCTGACAGGAAGTGTGTGCCCACCCCCACGGTCAGGGGACGGCAGGAGTGGAGCAAGCACACCTCACCTTGGCTACGGACAGCGTCTGCTGCTCCATGACCTCGTGCAGCACCGATCTCGCGCTCTCGCTCATCTTGTCAAACTCGTCAATGCAGCAGACGCCGCTGTCGCTCAGCACAAGGGCCCCGGTCTGCAGGACCAGCTGCCGCGTCTCGGGGTCCTTGGCCACATAGGCAGTGAGGCCGACGGCGCTGGAGCCCTTCCCGGATGTGTACTGGCCGCGGGGCAGCAGGTTGTGCACGTAGCGCAGCAGCTGGGACTTGCTGGTCCCCGGGTCCCCGCACAGCAGAATGTTGACCTCGGCGCGAAACCTGCCCCTCCCCGTGTGGCTGAAGTCCTTTCTTGTCCCACCAAAGAGCTGAAGCAAGATTCCCTGGACAGACAGACATGACGTTCACCTGCGGCAAAGGCGCTTTCCTTCCCCTCTGCAGCTTTCACAGTTGGAAACGTGAGTGGGTGTGGGGACGGGGACACAGACGACACCGATGATCGTCGGCCAGGAACCCGGGCAGGCAGCAGGCACCCGGCTCTGCCCAAGGGGCCACTCTCACCCTCTAGAGTGTCTGCACCACCGGCACCCAGGGCTTCAGCTCCCGAGTACAGGTCAGAACCCGCATTACCTTCTTGATATCTTCGTGTTCATAGATGCTCGGGGCCAAAGCGGAAGCCAGCCTCTCATAAATGTCTGGTTTTCTGGAAAGTTCCTTAAGCAGTTCCACTCGCTTCTCTGAAAAAAGTTTCTGCTCTGCTTCTTCATCAAGGCCGTGCAGACGTTTTGAGTCGGTTTTGCGGTAGTGAATGACGTCAATGTGGGTCTTGTAGACGGACTTCACGTTGCTCACCCGAGGGTTCACTCGGATGGGAACAGCACGGTAGATGCCTGAGGAGAGAGGCGGACACTGTCTCACCCCCCACCTGACCCAGCCCCGAGCCTGGCCTTCAGCCCGCAGGGCACCTGGGAGGGCAGGGGCGGCGAGGGGAGAAGCCGGGCTCCTGAAGGGCAGATCCAGGAAGGTGTCCGCGGGTCAGCTGGGCCCTGGCTCGTCTGCGCGTGACCATCACCCCACAGTCAATCAGAGACCACAGAGGCCTCCTCACAGCCCAGATCCATGACTCACACCCCGAAATAGAATTTTTATCTCTTAAACAGAATGCAGACTCTGATTAATAACTACTCGACTGAAACAAAACCCTAAACCGCTGTGCTAAAGCCTGGGGAAGAAAGGCATTCTAAAAAGCTCAAGTGTGTACAGCTGCTCCCAGGTTACTTCCCTCAGACACAAGCAGTCTCTGGTGGGGGGAAGCGATGGCCCGCTGGGAACAGCTGGGCCCGCTCTGCACCAGGCAGCTCCGGCACCTCAGCCTCTCCAAGAACTTGCCCAACAGCTATCCCACATTCACCTCCTTTGCGTTTCAAACGAGAAGCCTGGAAATGCAGGACAGGTCAACTGCTCGCAACCATCCCTCCATGGCTTTCTCAATGTTGGACACCCGTCCTTTCATTTACTTAACAGGTTAATGTAAATCTTTCTTAAAACACAAGAACCAGTTCACAGGTAACATTCCAGAACGCGGCGTTCTCCACGCCTGGGCAGATCAGGGATGGATGCTCAGGGTGGTCTAGGATCTTCACAGGCGCCTCTTCCCAGCATAGCACTGGCAACACCTGTTCCTCCATGGTGTGTCCCACCCCCTCCCCCACACACTGTCACCGATGCGGGAGCTTCGCTGGGCAGCGGCAGCCGTGGACGGACGACGGCATCCGGGGCTTCGGGGCGGGACCTCCCTGGAGGCCACACAGGCTTCCTGCCACACGTCCCCTTGGGAACACCTGCTGGGCTGCACGGCAGGGCCCACGGGATGAGAAGGCCCCCTGGGAGCCCCAGCTGCGCCCTGGACCTTCCATGACACATGCAGCCCTCGGCTGTGCTTCAGGGAAAGCAGCGGTCACCCCATCCCAGAGCCACTGGCACAGGTCCAGCCTCGCCAGCACTGACACTGCCAGGCCCAGGACATGCAGCTCTGGGACCACATGGGCTCACGTGGAGCTGAAGGCGAGTGGTGGAGGCAGCAGCCAGAACCCAGCATGTCCCCGACCAGGTCAGACTGCAAGGAGCCTGCCCCTCACCTGTGACGTGCACCCTGTCCCCAGGCTGGACCTTGTCCACAAGGTCGTTGTGGGCAAAGAGGATGACCGTGTGTGGCGTCTGCCCTGCGGGCATGTCCTCAGGGGACTCCTGGAGCTTGATCTGAAAGAGTGGGGAGCACAGCTGTCTCAGAACCCCGCGAGCCTCCACTGCTGGGCTGAGGCCCTGCAGCCTCACCCCTCTGCATAAACATCCCTGTGTCGGGGAGGGGGCAGCAGCAGAGGGAACTGTTGTCTCCACATTGAGGCTCTGCATAAATGCCTACGTCTCTGGTTCCTTCTGGAAATTGCTTTCAGCAGGTCTCCTGAGTGAAGCACCTCCAGGTCCCTGCACCTCGAACACCTGTCTGTCCCTCATGTGACATCCCCTGACAGGCACCTGCCAAGCTGCTGCACACTCTCGAGGATGCAGCCTTTCCCTTCAGTGTGGGGGGCCGTACACACCCCAGTGAGCCTGAAAGGGCCCTGGGGGTGGAGCATGTGTTTCACCAATCACAGGCAGAGAAGGTGCAGGTTAGGGTGTCTGGGGTAGAGAGGCCATGTGTTCTCAAGGGCCAGACAGCACATGCAAGGGTCCTGAGGTGGCTTCTGGTGGTGCGACGTCAACAGGTGTTTGGGCAGAGGCCTGTGGGGGCACTGGGAGCCTCTGGGCACCCCTGACCCCCAGCTCTCAGCCGGTGCCAGTGTGAGATGGAAGCTTACGTCAACTTTTAATTCTTCCATTAGCGATAAAGCTGAATGCTCTCCACACGTGCTAGTGTTTTCCTTACTGACTCCCAATAGAGGAAATCACTTTTTACAGCATTTTGAACACACTCCCTAACACACACACAAAAAATTGTTTAAACATTGTAACAAACGAAAAAATTAACTCCCTGTGCATACTCGTCACTTCAATCACAGAAATAAATGATCTCCTGCCTTTCTCCATTCATTTCTATGGTATTTCATCTTCATTTCAAAATTTCCATGATTAAGGAGGCAAAAGGGCCAACTTCCTACACAATAAAGTCCGTGAGAAAAATCCTGGAAAACCTCCTCGGGCCTCTCCTTACCAGGGGAAGAGCTGCCAAATGACAAAATTTAACCAAATGCTTTTTTACTGATCTTGACGTTTTATATGCTTTTGCCTGAAATACTAAAAACACAGTCCTACCATCTTAAGTACTTCCCATAGAAGCATCGCGTATGAAATTTGACTTAAACTGAGCAGGCTAATTGGACCCGTTACAACCCTCAAGCTGCTCCCTGGAGAAGGCACATCCCCGTGACGAGGGCGTGAGTCTAATGTGCGGTGCTGGCGGCTGGCAGAGCGGCAGGAGAGCCAGCTGCAGGGTGGGGCACGCACCATCTGCTTGTCGGAGAAGACCGAGCGGTTGTGGATGAGCGCCATGCTGTGGGCTGTGTGGCAGCGCTCGCAGGCGCAGGGCTCGGCGATGCGGCCGCGGTCCATCTCCACTCGTGTTGTGTGGGCGCAGACCTGGCACTGGAAGAAGGCCTCCTGCATCTCCGGGATCAGCTGGGATGTCCTGATCACCATGCCGCTGATGGCGATGAGCTGGTCGATGTCTGCAAGGCAGAGAGAGGGGGCAGCTTGTCCACTGGCTGCTGCCCACGGCCTGCAGCCCAGCCAGGCGGGGTCCTCCCTGGGGCTGGACACCTGCCAGGGCAGGTCTGGGTCTGCTGTCAAGTCTGGGAGAACCTTCCCGGAGGTGCAGAGGGGCTGGGTCGGCTAAGGTCACAGGCAGGCTGCAGTGGCCAGGGCATAGACATCTCCCTGGGCACCCTGAAGTCTGGCCTAGGATGCCCCTCCTGTGTCCACCTGCTTCCTCTTTACCCAAGACTACTAATGCCCGCTGAGCGAGGCCACCCGGAGGCTACTCGGAGCCGACCAAACCTACACTGTAGCTGTACCGGGGACTCCTGCACTGTTTCCGTGTTGGGCCACTCATCTCTTGCTTTCCCAACTAGACTTCTTTCTTAAGCTGTAGGTGGGGGATCATATTTTATATTTCTGCACTGATTCTGATAGAGCCTACTTAATAAAATAACTGTAAAATCGTAATAATTGGGCAAGTTCACCTCAAGATAGAGAACCGTCCCTTTTATGTAACTTCAGCTCAGTTAAAAGCAGGACCAGTTAAAAGCAGAGGACCCGTAAGCACACAGAGTAACTTAATCCGCTACGAGTCTGCCAGTTTATGGTCTGTCGAGCATCACCATCACCTCCAGCTCTCCTAAAGCTCCGTGATGAAAGGCGGTTTTGTTTACTTTCATGTAAGGTACTTCCTGCTGCGACTATCACCTTCTGGATTCAGGTTCCTCATGTTCTTGGTCTTCAGTGCGTTGAACGGTCTTACTTGAATCTGATGTTCCAAGATTGAGTCAGGGTAACGGTCAAAGAAGATCTCATTGACAGCCATGTCGAAAGTTGGGATAACTTCCTTTAAAAACAAATATAAGGATGTCAAGCTGTGTTTGTGCAATCTCAGGGTTAAATAAAGCACTGCATGTTAGCAAAGTATAAAAGCAAAAGAAAAGAACATAATCCAAAAGCGCTGCCCTGTGAAATCACACAAGTGCTGTTTATAAAGCCTTGGGTGCAGTGAACCCCTCACCTCCGCATGCGCGCACTTTGGCTGGATGGGGTGAGACGCAGCAGCAGTGTCTGCAGGACGTGCCAGCTGACTGCTGCTGGCTTTTAATTACCGACAGCTCGTACTTTCACGTCTCACTTTTTCTCCGTAAGGACTGATACCAAAATAGGTTAAATCAATTTATTCAAGTTTGTTAGCACCCGTTCCCCATTTTGCAGATAAGGATACATTCTCTGGGAGGTGGAAGAGCTGGCCCGAGGTTACACAGCTACTAAGCAGCAAAATCAAGACTTAAAACCAAGTCTGTTTGCCTCTGAAGCCTAAACTAAAACCAATGCAGCTGATGCTTTGCTGATAAAACCTGACCCCAAACAGAGACATGGGACTCTGGGATGGTTAACGTATCCCGCTAGAGACGGCAGAAGTATGTAATGCACTCACCCAACTAAGCACTTTAAGTCATCAAGCCTAACATGCAACGAATTGTAAGAATCACCACCGTTTTAAATACCGTTACAGCACCAATTAAACTAAGACATGCTATTGACAGTAACACACATCCCGATTTAAAAAATTACAGCAAAGTGCGGAGAAATGTTCCTGTTAAAGGAGAGGGATCATGGTTTTCTCAAGAAGTTTATGTGCTGTGGAGGTAAATTCCCTGTTACTGAGGAAACCCTGCAGATACTGTAGACATTTGCCACGGTTCACCAAGATCAAAGGGCAGACTCTCACCTGTGGATAGCAGGTTAGCTGTCTGTATAGGTTACTGTCGAATGATTTTATGTGCTCACAGTTCACGTTTAAAAATGGCTCCCCAATAACATTAATCTATAGAGGAAAACAAACAAGTTATTTTCTAATTGTTTTAAAATATCTAATTAGAATGTTTAGCTAAGTGTATTTGATTACCTCCCCAAGTCGCTGCATGTACAGAGGTTCAGTAACGTCTATGCCAACATTTTCTTCTTCTTTAGCCAGAGGATCAATAAAACGCTGAAGAAATCTCTTGATGTAGAGAGAAAAACATTTAAGCTTAATGCAGTCAGGACTGGAAACTGTTCAAAATAAAAGGCTATAAACACTGGCGTGCATGTATCTTTTCAAGCTCGCCAAGATGTGGAAACATCCAAGTGCTCATCAACAGACAACTGGCCTAAGAAGATGTGACATACATACAACAGAATAGGACTCAGTCATAAAAACAAATGAAATATTGATGTTTGAGGGAAAACGAATGTACTTAGCAATTCTTACACTTAATGAAGTTTGACAGAAAAAGACAATACTATGTATCTCTTAAAATATGACACAGATGAATGTACATACAAACCAGAAAATAAATTTATGGTTACCAAAGGGAAGGAGGAGGGATAAATTAGAAGTATGGGATTTACAAACTACTACACATAAAATAGAGAACAAAGATTTTACTGTATGGTACAGGCAACTATTCTCAGTCTCTTACGATAATCTGTAATGGAATATAATCAGGAAACAATACATGTGCGAACGAGTCACTTAGCTATATACCTGACATTAACACAATATTGTAAATCAACTAAACTTAAGAACAAAAGGTTAGGAGCATGTCAGTATTCGGAGACGGGTATGATTTTTTTCTTCTTAAAAACTACACAAACATCAACAATTCTAACCCATGTAAACAGCGACCCATTTAAGTATTAGGGGTACTTGGATGTGTTACTAACACCTGTTTCCCAGTACTTCTGGAATCCCGATGGATGACAGATAAACCTCACCTGAAAACTTTCTTTGCATGCTGCCACGTTTACATCTGTCCCCCAAATCACGAGTTTTTGGCCCAAAGACTGCTCGCTCGCCACTATATCCTCTGCTGCCGGCTGGAAACAAAAGGGCAAAGGGCAGGTTCGTGGGGACCGCCCAACTCCCGCCGCCCACGCGCGACCCGGGCGGCCCCGCACTCACCCCGTCAGAATGCAGGTCCACCTGCAGCCCCTTGCGGGCCGAGCCCAGGTCGGGCCTCTGCCGCACGGGCGTGCCGCGCACGCCGCTCCTTGGGGTGCCCTCCACCCGCGAGCTGGGGGTGCCGTAGTCAGCGG